ACGATAGTAGTCGTTTGCCAAAATTGGTTATATATCGATTTTACTCATAATCGATCGTTATCGTTTAAAAATTAACCGGATATATATCGATTATTATCATAATCGATGATAATCAGCAGGGGGGATTATAATTGATATATATCTATAGGGTTAGTAATCGATATATATCTCTATATAAATTTTGCTGATGACAGATGATGTATAACCTCTATAATTTACGTTAAACCAGTATAAAAATAGGAATCTTATAACAAACCAGTTTAATATAAATTATGGATGCCGCCTTAACTACTTTTTTAGTAAATTCTTTTTCTCTAAAAAAAAAAAAAAAAAATTTGATAACGTATTTATCAATAACTTTATTTAATTAATTCATTTTAAATTAGATCTTTAATTAAAACTTTTTTAATTAATTTTTTAAAAAATAATAATAATAATAAAAAAAAAAAAAAAATTTAAAATAATGAATCTGCCGCTTTAGTGGCCCCTTTAAATTTGATAATCAACGCTTTTGTATTCTTTTTTAAGCAATAATTTTGCACCTCTCTAATTTTTTCATGTAACGTTTTTTGAATAATGCCAAAAAGAACAACCTTAATGGACACACAAAAATTTGAATTCTGTATCTACGCTCGTGATAATAAGAGAACCTGCCCAGAATATGTGAAATGGATTGAAGACAAATGGGGGGTTAAAATTAATGAGTCTACGGTCACTCGAATCTTACAAACTAAGGACCAATGACTTTCAAATGAAATTGTAAATCCAGATGCCAAGCGACATAGGATCGTTATTATACCAGAGCTTGAGCTAGCGCTCAAGGAATTCATACTAATCTATCAACACTGCACTATTCTAAGCGATGCTATGATGATCGAAAAGGCAAAATTGTTAGCGGATGAACTAGGAGTCCCTGAAGGCAAGTTATATTTTTCTTCTGGGTAGCTCCAAAAATTTAAAAAGCGAAATCGAATCTGTCAGATAAAGCTTCATGGAGAAGCAGGTTCTGTTGATGAGGATATTATTACTGAATCCTTACCTTTATTGCAAAGTAAATACTCCGAATACACTCTTGACCGCATATATAATATGGACAAAACTGGACTTTTTTACCGGTGGTTTTTTTTTTCTTTGATAAAATTTTTTTTCTTCTTTTTTTTAATAAAAAAATTTCTTTCTAGATTGGAACTGGATCGAACCTTAGCGACTCAGCGAATTGCAGGACCAAAAAAAATAAGGAACATATTTCTGTAGTATTATGTGCGAATGTTGATGGATCCCATAAGTTGGCCCCTCTTATAATTGGTAAATATGCCAAACCCCGATGTTTCAAAAATGTGAAAATTAATAATTTGCCCATGACATATAGGAGCAATGCTAAGGCTTGGATGCTTGTGATTCTTTTTCAAGAGTGGCTTCAGGATTTTGACCACCAAATGTTGCAGAAGCATAGGGGCCAGCATGTTCTTTTACT